GGGAAAGGTGCCGGGTGGGAGGTGCTAGGGACAAGGATGGCTTTGGCTACCAAAACATCTGGAGATCGGAGGTGCTATTCAGCCACAAGCCTTGCACGTGGCTGGAAATAGTGGGGATCATGGTGGGTGCATCTCTGAAGCGTAGGGACCCTTTTTAACTCTGAAGCATAATCACAAGAATTCTGAGTTTGACTGTCTGAACATAAAACTTCTCCGATGGCTGTTCATCTGCTGTGAGGTAAGAGAAGGGCTGCTGAGATGCTGCCGTGGATCACCCCTCCTGGGTGTATCCCTGCCCCTGTTACTTTCTCTACGTCAGATCCACAAGTGCATATGGACTGAGATTCAGAGCCCAGCAGGCAGCGAGACTTAATCTGTACGAAGGAGTGAACGCTTAGGGAAAAAATCCAACACTCAGTAGAAGTGAAAATGAAGCAGTTGGCACCTCCAAAGGGGATTTTAACTGAGTTTGAGAGCTCAGCATGGTCACAGGGGCGGGAGGAGGTTTGCAGAGCTGAGAAGAACTGGGCCAGGTGAGGCATCTGTTGCTGGCTGAATAAACAGCAGCCCTGCAGGCCCTCCTGCTCCAAAAGCCTGGCTGCCTCGGGGATAGATCAGGGCAGCCTCAGCGCACAACAGGTCCCGGGTTGGGTGGGGTCAGTTGAAACAGGAAGCTTCGACAGAGTCGTTTTTATGCCAAGAAGTTCCAACAACGGCTTTGATGCCAGTGCTTGATAATTATTGACTTCTCATGGCTAATCTCTCTCTGAGAAACATAATTTTCTGAGCTTTTAATGAGACTCGATGAAAACTAAAGGATCCAGTGAACATGCAGACTGCATTTCCCCCCAAAAATAAAATTTGGTAAGAAATTCAAATAGAAAGCCAAGTTTCCCCAAAACCCAAAGAGAAAAAAAATAAATGCAATGTAAAAAAAATTCACTATCAACAGTTTGGTGTGAGTGTATCCTCCCAGCCTTTTAATGTGTATACAAACCTACATTTTCACTTGAGTGTGACTGTGATGTAACACTGTCCTATGACCACCTCGTTTCACTCCTGCACAGGTCATATATCTCCATGGTTGTCAATACATTGATGTGTCTGACCTTATCAAGGGCTTCATTGCAGTTCATGGTATACAAGTGATTTAATTAACCAGTTCCCTATGAGGGACTTTTAGGCTGTTTCCAAGTTTTGGTTATTACAAAGAATGCTGGTAACTTTTTGCCCATAAGTCTTTGCACACTTGTCTAATAATCTTTGAAGGATTAATTCTTAGATGTGGACTGGCTAGATTAGAAGATAGATACCTTCTTAATTTTGATAAAATTTGACAAAATGCCATGAATGAATTTTACTAACTTGCTCTGCTTTCATTAGTATGACAGATTGCTCTTTCTTTCAAATTATTACCAACTCTGGCATTACCAATCTTTGCTAATCTGATGGTGAAAGGAATGTAAGTTATTTTATTTCACATTTCTTAGATCAGTAGTGATCTGGGGTCTACTGCCATATACTTACTAGCCACATGTATTTTTTTTGTGGGAATTCAATATTTTCTGACGAGGTATCCATCTTTTTCTTATTGAATTATTAGAGCTCTTTGTATATCAAGAATACTAACACTTTGTCACGTGCAATTAAATCTTTTTGGTAACAGCAGAAAATGTCAAATAGGTTTACTTACAAACACTGTGGGATCCCCAATGCCCCTCCCTCCCCAAAAAACCCACAAAAGTTTTGGTTATTGACACTTTATTAGGTTTCCTAGGGGTGCCATAAGTAAGTATCTCAACCCAGGTGGCTTAGAGCAATAAACATGTGTTCTCTCAAGTCTGGGGTTAGAAGTCTGAAAACAAGGCACTGGCAGGGCTTTGTTCCCATGGAAGCGTCTGGTGAAATTCCTTCCTTTCCTGCTCCCGCTTCTGGGAGCCCCAGGTATTCCCTGTAGATGTGTAGACACAGCTCCGTCACCTGGCTTTCTCCCTCATCTTTTGTTAAGTATACCAGTCACTTTGGATTAGGGCAGTGATGGTGAACCTTTTGAACTTGGCCTGTCAGCATTTTGAAAAACCCTAACTTAACTCTGGTGCCGTGTCACATACAGAAAATTTTTGATATTTGCAACCATAGTAAAACAAAGACTTATATTTTTGATATTTATTTTATATATTTAAATGCCATTTAACAAAGAAAAATCAACCAAAAAAATGAGTTTGTGTATCACCTCTGACACGCGTGTCATAGGTTCGCCATCACTGGATTAGGGTCCACCATGCTGACTTCATCTTAATTACAGGCGCACCTCAGAGGTTGTGGGTTCAGTTCCAGACGACCGCTATAAAATGAGTTTCCCAATAATGCAGGCTCAGTTGGTTGGGACATCCTCTTGTAAACCAGGTTTCAGTTTCGATCTCTGGTTAGTGTGTGTGTGGGAGGCGGCAACGAATTGATATTTCTCTCTCATACCGATATTTCTCCGTCTCTGTCTCTCTTCCCCTCCCTCCCTCCTTTCCTTTCTAAAAAAAAAATCAATAAAAAAATCCTTGGGTGAGGTTTAAAAAATTGCAACATCTGTGAGGCACAATAAAATGAGGTATATCTGTACTGCTGCAAAACCTGTTTCCAAATAAGATCACATTCACAGACATGGGTTAGCATTTCAGTATATTTTGGGGGGACACAATTCAACCCACAGCAGTCCCCATTATTGAGTGTCTGCTATCACCAGCAAAGTGTGTTCTTTAACGGCTGGGACCAGATGAGCCTTGTTCCATATTCTGACCTGAAGCACTTTATCCAGTGTCTGGTAGGTAGTGGTCCCTCCAAAAAGATTTCCTGAAAGAATTTGAGTTTCAGGACTATGTGCCCATTCAGACATTGAAAGATGTACACAAGAGAACACAAGAGATCAGATTTTCTTTGATTTACATCTACATTTAACAATTTGTAATTAGTATACAAATGCAAGTGGGGATAACTGGACGGTCCAGAAGAGGGAACGGCTCAGCTGTCTGGATGGGGCTTGGGCCAGGCGCGTGCTTTGGGTGCCCCAGCACTTGTCCTGCAAACAGGCCTAAGAATATGCAGACACACTCCCAGACGAGAACCGAAATTATGACCCAGAATGGTTAGGTTGGATTAAGTAGAAAATAAGACAGCAGAGCCTGTAACAATCTAAATGTATTTTATTTCTTATTCATATTGTAAAATACAATTGACATTTATTTCATAGTCTCATAGAGCCAAGCTTATCACATAAAGTTCAGAATTTGCTTCAGACACTTACTTTCTTTTTTCTTTTTAAATATATTTTATTGGTTTTTTACAGAGAGGAAGGGAGAGGGATAGAGAGTTAGAAACATCGATGAGAGAGAAACATCGATAAGCTGCCTCCTGCACATCTCTCACTGGGGATGTGCCCGCAACCAAGATACATGCCCCTTGACAGGAATCGAACCTGGGACCTTTCAGTCCGCAGGCCGACGCTCTATCCATTTCTGCCGGTTTCGGCAGAAATTTACTTTCTAAGTTATTTTTTGTACTTGCTTCAAAAAATAATTTCCAATTACATAGGACTAACAGCCTCCAAGTTATGCTGAATTCCTGTATTTAAGCTTTTAAAAAATAACTTCCCTCCTGTGAAAGACATACCTGACAAAACATCTATCCTTCATTTCCACAGAGGAATATTTCATGACCGGCACGGTCCTTGTAATGAAATGTATATTCCTCTGTGAGGGATAGAACATGACTGTAAAAGATGAGTT